CTAACGGACGCTCATGGGAAGCGTGGTGCCATGGCTTCTATTCCGCTGTCTCCCAGATTACTGATCCTGCAGAAAGCCTGTTGCCAGGACATGAAGTCACTCAAGCAATCCTGTGGAGATATACATAGAAAATAACTAAGGCCATCTGCCAGGAACTGCCAGCAGTATCAACTCCCTGGCCATGTGAATGTGTGTGAGTGTGTGTCTGCCTCTGCGCACGTATCCGTATCTCTGTGTGTGAGTGTGCGTGTCTTTACATGTGTATCTGTGTCTGTGCTCGTGTATCTGTGTGCATGGGTTTGTGTGTGCATCTGTGTGCATGTATCTATACACGCATATGTTCACATATCTCTCTATGTGTGTGTCTGAGTGTGCGTGAGTAGGCGCATGTGTGCCACAAGCCGCAAGATCACACAGTAGTTATATAGCCTTCGCATCACGAGGTAACTCAGAAGAATTAAGGATTCTTCTTATAGATGAAAGCAGTGCAAAAGCTGTACCTGGCATTGCAATCTTGTGAATGAATTGGCTGACTCTTGCTGTAGATTCTTCCTGCAGCTTCTTCCTTTCTGTAGCAAACTTGGGATTTACTTCTCACACTGTAGCACTATCTGATTGTTTACTTGGAACAAATTTCTCCCATGCATTTGGAGTTTTACTGATTACATTCCTTAGGTATGTATGAGGCCTGTTTCCCACTATCAGGTCCTTGTTCCCCTCTCCATCGCAATGCCAGGGTTCTGCATTCCTGAGTTACCTTTATTGACAGGCATTTGGTCAGTGTTTAGGACCCAGGCAAAAGCATCCCATCTAAGACATCCCCAAATATTTAAGGACATGGAGTTACTACACTTCCAAAGTTGTTGATTCATAGCTGCCTAGATGGATAGAAAAAAAAATAAGCATGCCCTTGGCTTTACCTCACTGGCAGATAGAGAAAGAGATAACCTAAACTAACCCTGCACTAAAAGATTCTCCAACTTCTTGTATTAACTCAAGATTTTAGCTCAGGGATTTACTGCTCCCTCCTGTTTCCCCTGAGAAGATAAAGACAAAGGTAATCAGCTTATTTGCTTGTCCTCAGGGAAAAGGTAAACTTTCCTGAAGGCCTGCACCACCACTGAGGCCAGAGCACTGGAAGGGTTTCTTGTGCAAATTAAACTTAGACCCTCTCTTTGACCTACAGCCCTAAGTAACTGATGCTGACACTTTCTCCTAGTAGACTTAGTTTACTGCTCTGTGTGTAAATCTTATCTGCCTTGCTGACCCTGAGAAACTCAAGCTGCACACTGTATTGTAAAAATAATTGCTGTTACAAACGAATAAATACCTGTACCCCCAAGAACTGACAAGGAATTCGAGGGACAGAGATATAGAAATACAGACAGGAAATAATGAAACAGAGCAGCAGGAGAGAAAGAGAATAGAAGAAGAATGAAGAGCACACAGAGGAGCAATTGTGTGTGAGTCGATTCCTTTCTCCCTCAGATGTTCCCTTTTTTTGAATCCTGGGCAAAAACCGTAGAAACAGGACTTCTACAGTTTTTGATACCAGTGTGTGCTTGTGTGTACATGTTTGTGTGTTTATGCAAGTTCCTACGTGTGTGAATGTGTCTGTGTATGCATGTGTGTTCACACATGTGCATCTATGTGTGAATGCGTGTGTGTGTGTGTCTGTGCATGTGTCTCTGTGTGTGCATATTCATGTGTAAGTGTGTACATGTGTGTGTACATATGTGTGCATGTGCATGAGTACGCATGCATGTTTGTGTGTTTATCTGAGTGAAAATTTATCACTGGCAATTTATTTGTGTTTTCTTAAATGCAAGTAAAACTTCAATGTAGATTATTTCTGAATGTTTATAGAAGGGTCACAAGTGATCTCTGGGAAGCAAAGAGCTTGCAAGAACTATTTCATCCTGATGGGCGTCTCTGACAGAAGCTTCCTCCTGGATAGGGTCCTGGTGGTTTAGAAGAAACTCTGAAACCTACTATGTCTGTTCCTGCGTCATGTATCCTAATTTCATTTTGTTCCTGTGTCCTTCACTACAATCATTGGGCATTATTAGAGTGTTTCTGTGAGCCGTCTTTTGTTCTGCAAATTGGTCATCAACCTGAAATGCTGTTGCTTGGTGTTTTGACTTTTCAAGCCAGTTTTGATAGACTGCAGAGCTTTCCTGAGTCGCGGGGTAAAGGGTTTTACCCCATGAACTCTTCCTGAAGGTTTATGAGACCCCCAGCTCTACCACCAACTGCCCCAACATGTGCAGATGCGTAGGAAAGGCTTTGTTTTCTGCAAGCAGAAGGAAGAGAATCAGCACCCGTTGTCACTCTCCCTGATGAATGAGCATCTATATCGGCAGCTCAGAGGGCCACCTCCATAGAGCAATGGGTGATCTTTGCTCGAAACATCTGGACAGCCCAGGCCATCAAGGCAGATCGCCTATGTGCAGACAGGTGTTGTGGGCAGGTCCTTGGCTCTCCCGAGTTCCAGGTCTGAACTGCTTTATAGCAATTTGAGAGGAAATGATTCTAGCAGTATTTGGGAGTTTGGATGTCTCTTCATCTATAACTCAAACAGTGATAGCTGTACACTGCCCTCTGGACTAACTGTATTTTTACCTTTCATATGTGTCCCTGGTTTTGACATATTCTGTAGGTGTGAGTGTGTGTGTGTGTGTGTGTGTGTGTGTGTGTGTATGTGTGTGTATGTTGGAAACGTTGATTGGTGGGAGAATCAACCTACTTTCCTTGTGGTTCTACAGTCCATTTCTCCAATAAGGACTGAAGCTTTGTGCCTGCATTGACTATCCCGTTGCTACATTTGCTATAGGCTGCCAAGGTCCTCCAGGATCACTGTAGCCTTTTTGTCAATGCTTAAAGGATTTAAGAGAGGTTATGGCCCCAGAGAATTGCAGGCCATTGAAAAATGAGGTGGGCACCAACAAAGGACCTCATATTTGGAGGACAGGTGATTCTTACTGTTAGCTTTTAGGAACTAATTGCTACAGATCAAAATCTGCATTTTGAAGACAGGTAAGACGATCTTAATCAGTGTCTAACTGCCTTCTGTAGAACAGGAGGCTCAGGGGGTCTGGCAGAGATGTCTTAATGGAAGGAAGAATTGAGTCTCCATTTACCACGGACATTGCCAAGATGTGCCTCATGCTCACAGATATTTCTTGGGCATCACGACAAGACTGTGTCTGAGCAGGAAGTGTTTTGACTTTCAGAGAACAGAGTAGCACTCTTGAGGACAGTGATCACACAGATCACCACAAATGAGCTTTCCAGACTAGGTTTCCAGAACACAACACAGCCTGTTTCGGTGTATGCACAAACTCAGAGCATGGACTGAGGGGAACTATACGCCAGCTCATCTAAATCCACTGCATTTAAACCATGGAGTCCCCTATAAAATATATAACAGGAAGATTGAGAATTGTGGATAGCATGTTAATGAGTGACGTGATTTAGAATCTGGAACTCTCCCAATGACTAGAAGCACATAGGAAATATTTCCAAACACCGAGGCAAAAACCATAGTAACTTAGAACAAAGCATGATGGGGACACCCCTCATGATAGAGATAAACTTTCTGTTGGTGTGGAAGGCTGTCTTCAACTTTTGATTCTGATTTCAAAAGCATAAGGATAAGGAAACAGGTAAAAGGTAAAATGCTTGATAGTCATGAGGGTCCATGCTCATTGCCCAGGAAAAGTCACGAGTGGCAGGAGATGTCCTTACTGTCATAGCTGGGAAGTCAGAGGCAGGAGGAGTCTACCTTCCCAGTCAAAATGGCAAATTCTGGCTCAGTGAGAGGCTATATCCTTGCAAACCAGGCGGATAGTTCGCCAACAATGCCTGTTAGGTGGAGAGGGAATGAACCTGGGCATGGACTTTTGACTTCCACATGTACACCTAGGGGTGAGCATACTTACACACACACATGTAAATTCACACACTATTCACATACAAATACAACAAAGCCCAGACACCTGTCTGCATAATCCCCTTGCCCATTCATCACGACAACATGCAAGTTCTGTGGTTTCAATGGCTTTCCTCACAGATGCTAAAAGTAGTTATGATTATGGTCTGAGTGTGTAAATCCCACACACAGTTGTTCACTGGAATGACAGCTGGTACTTATTTTAATATGTAGACTTAAAAATGGCAGTTTAACAAAGTTCCACTGGACATTTTTTCTAGGCTATATTCTTTAGATTTGAAGGAAAATACAGATCTATAGAGACAATACACACTCCCTCCCGTATTATAGCCTCCAGTTAACCCACAGTGGTCTTCATTTTGGGCTTGGTGAGAGCTACTGAAGAGGTTTGAATGAGTCTACTGCTGGGAAATAAAGTGAAATCTGTTGGCTCATATCTTCCCTTGCTCAAAAAGCCCTTGACAAGATTTCTGGGATATCCCGAGGGCACAGCCATACCAAGCAGAAGTTAAAAAAAAAGCAGCTTTGAAATTCCTTTGCTTAGTCCTGTCTCCACGAGCAAATTCTCCTCTACAGGCCTGACGATGAGAGAATGTTGACACATGAGCCCGTAAAACAAAACATTAACCTTTCTCATGGTAGAGTAAGGCACGAGAAGGGTTCTGGCCCATTAAGGTAGCAGAGTACAGACTTCAGACCCAGTTGCTTTTGAAGTGTTCTTGTGTAATCCATGCCCAAAGCCCCTGAGAGGCATGCTGCCTTTCAAGTAAACATGGTTGCTAGGAGAAGAGAGAGAGAGAGACAGGGAGAGGTATCAGCAATGGGGGATCTACAGGCATCTCCGATTTTGCAGGAACCAATGTGGACATTTCTCCTGCAAAGCTATTAGCTCCTCAGCCCCTGCATGGACCTCCTACCCTGATTTGCCCGTGGGAGGATGCTGAGGTTCGCTTTAGTCGGTTACAGAAATTTGCTGAGAGTTTAGTATCGGAACACAAACATAGGCTCAGAGTGCTTGAAACACAGCCGCGCTCGCAAAAACCCTTACTTCTTCTCTCCTTTGTACCATTCGAAGGCCGGCGGTGGCACACCTGCACCCTCGCATCTTATCAGTCCGCTGCGTCCTGGGGTCACGGTGCCAGATTTAATTTCCTGAATCGTAGGCGCAACTGGAAAAGAAACAAAAAAACAAAAGACACCCTGGTGGGTAAAGAGGAGTAATTTTCAGCAGAGATGGCACACACACAAGCAAACATGCGCACACACACACACACACGCACACGCACACGCACACGCACACACACACGCACACACACACACTCACACACACGCACACGCACACACACACGCACACACACTCACACACACACACGCACACTCACACACACGCACACACACGCACACGCGCACACACACACACGCACACACACACACACACACACACACTCGCGCGCGCATGTGCGCGCGCACACGATTCTATTCCTTCTGCCTTCAAAGCAATCCCGTGCCTGGCAGTTCAGTGCATTCCAGGCCCTGTGTTTTTATACTTCAAACAGCAGGCCAAACCAGTCATTTTCAGCTCCATTTTTCAAGTTGGACAATAGATGAATGTTCTCGGGGAGTACAGAGTAAATGCAATACATTTTGGCTGGGTTTCTATTGGAAAAGTAGCACAGTGAGGTGAGCACCTCATCTGTATCCCGGTCAAACAGCACTCCATCTAACTCCCCTTTATTGAGCGATCACTGGGCAGCTGGCGCTTGCCCCAGCTCCAGCTTCTCGATTTCCTTGCGTGATGCTCTGAGCTTGGTTGACATTATTCCCATTTTACCAATAAGACAACCTAAGTTCAGAGACATTAAAGACTGTATAAGGGTGAGACAGCCACTTAGGTGCAGAATTTGAATTCAACCATGGTTGATCTCGGGATGCCTTCCTTGTCTTTTGCTATGAGTGACTTTGTGACATTGTTTTCTGTCTCCAGATGCGCTCTCCGACATGGACATCAAAGCTCTGAAGCCCGTTTCGGAGTCTGTGTCCTCCCTAGGCCTCACTGTGGCTCCCGCTAAAGCAGCTCTCTCTCCTTCACTGAGTGGTTTACTGGAATCGATGAAACCGTAAACTTTGGCCACCAAATGGTTACGGAGCCTTCAACATGTGCCGGACGGTTCCTTAAAGAACGACTGAGTCGGATTCCTAAAACAACTGAACAGGAGTCATATACAGGATGGGTGAGTAGGAGACAGGCTGCAAACAGTAAATGTCAGAGTTAAAGGGCTTGAGTAAAATGCACAGTGTTAGAAAGGGACAAATGGACTGTGGTGTGCGTCGTGGCGTTGGAACCAGCACACGCTAGCTTCCCTGGGGCCCTGAGTTTGACCCTCACAGCAGTATTCTCAGAGCCATGAATGCAATGCAGTTTTGTCTAGACATCTCATGTGTCCTTTCCTTTCCGGTGTGAGTGAACGTAGAAACTGTGAGTCCTCCCCGAGAAGGAAGGAAGGGCCTTTAAGGGGTAGATGGGGTTGTGTGTGCTAGCTTTTGTGGATATCTGAGGAAAGCCTCCCAGGTAGAGATAATAGCTAAGCTGTGAGACCCTGAAGCCACAGTAATTCCTATCTTGGTGTAACAAAGAGGGGATAGGGTCAAAATGGGTCTGGGATGGAGACCAGGAAGAACTTTAAGGGTCCTTGGAGATCTTTAAAAAAAATGGTACACCATAACACAGGGATATTACCTGGCTTGTGATTTACAGTATTTGTAAGATGCTGTGCTGAGGAAGGGCCTGTCTGAGTCCAGAAGGGAAGAGGAGGGAGGCTTTGGGGACTGCTCTGAGGGGGTTGATGATGTATATTGTGCTACCTGAAAAGGAGGTCTGAGATACTTTATTAAATATAGAAATCGCATACTGGGAAGAGCTCTATGGTCCCTGCAGCGGCCAAGATCCAAGAGAGAGAAATTTGATTTCCCTTCCCCTTTTATCCTCACCTGTCCCACATACTCCTGGGGCATGGACAGTATCTTGGGAATGGGAGCTGTCCCCTACGGGGGGCGCACTGTGGTGACGCACAGGAAAGAGAAATGGGTTTGGTGCAAAGTGCATGGGATCCATTGAGAGTTGGGGACCAACAGGACTTCCAGACAGTAGAAAATAAGATGTGAAGGCACCAGGGTGTGAGGGCGATTGGCCGCGAACAATGGAAGATTTGCCAGGATATCTACACGGTGTGATGGGCGTGGTCAGACAGGAGAGAAGACCCACACAGTGTGATTGGAACCATCAGGAAGAAAATAACACCCACACAGTGTGATGGGAATGGTCAGGGAGAAGATTCTCAGGGGGATCTTAAGAGTTGGATGAAAACATCTTCTCATGAGTACCTACATATTGAATAAGGTTTGTATATAACAGATTCTACATGACACCACACAGTAGTTCCTAGGACTAGAAACTTGATGTACATGTAATTTAAAAGTACGTTCTGGTTAAGTGCCCACTAGAGATACATTTAGGGTTTCTGTAGAAAGCAATGAAACATGGAGGCTTTAACGTTTGATTCCAGTATCTTGTGAATATGGAAAGAGTAATCATTCTTACATGAGTAAAATTATCTTTCCTTTTAAAATATCTGCTACATTAATCATTTTTCTATTCCTGGTACTTCATTTTGAAACAATAACACCTCTATCATCTGTAGTAATTTTATTCTATATAGTAAAGTTTTAAGTTATATTCTAAGGAAAAAATGCAAGGTAATAATTCTAATAAAATTTAATTGTTTTAATAAAAGTGAAAATAATGAAAGTGTTTATGAGGGGATTTTGAATGAGGGAATAATATGAATATATGTGTACTTGTAATTAAATATATGAATGTGCATATAGGGACAGAAATCCAATATAAGGAGCGATTCAACAATCCATAACTTTCATTTTGAGTACAGATTCATGTTGTCTTGGAGGACGCAGCTGAAGACACATGAGGCACCTACTGCACTGCTTCTCACCCGTCAGTGGTTACGTGACTGCCGGCTTGAGAGAGGTGAGGTGAGGCATCTTGCCTACGGTTCTCAGAGGCTTTCCCTATCCTGCCTTCATCATGATAACAGGCTACAGTCTCTTATGATTTCCAACTGTCATCACTGAAGACAAAATAACCATATGCAACTGGCCTCTGTCAGAGGCTTCTGCTGATGGTAGGGTTAGTGAAATTAGTCTCCCGTTTGTCAAGGGGGCCCATGACTCATTACAAACAAACGCATGAAATCCCAAACATTGCCTGAAAACCCAGGCGTAATGAACCAAAATAAAAACCTAATTCACCATTAAAAGGCTTTTATACAGTCCAGTGTGCAGATGGCTGGGCACTGGGTTCTTGACAGCCAGCATTAAAGAGACAGTACCCTGTCTGGGAGCTACAAAGTAGGCAGCTCTCAAGGACAGTGACCGCACAGACACGTACCATGTCACATTGGAACTGCATCAATAATTAATAGAAACGGGTGTTAGAAAATGTCCCAAGTACATATTGGGTGGTGGAGAGACACAGAACTGAGAGCCATGGGACCCTAAGTGTGGAGATGGCTTCTCGCAGACATTCCATGTCTAACAGTTATACCGTGAGCTCAAGTCTCTACTGATTTTCCTTAGGAATATGGAAATTCATATTTGTGTTTCAATGCCATTGTATATCTTTTGCAAAGACTTTGTGGGGGACGTGGTTAGTCTAATTATTCATCTTTCCATCAGTAGAAAATTCTTGAAACAACAGTAAACGTGCCCTGTATAGCTGGACATGAACTCCAATGCACACGAAGCAGTTTGAAGGAAGAAGGATCTCTTTTATATGAACTGATGGCTGAGCTCCTTACTCTTGTGGTTAAGAGTTGTGTGGAGAATCAAACTGTGGTAAAAGCAGCTGTGAGAGGGGCCTACACATTAGTGAAACAGGCATAAGAGTCAAGATTACCTTCTCAAAGTCCAGAGAACAGTCAACCGCTTCAAGGACATATTTGAGGGGAAACACTGTGCATGCTTCTGTGAGCTGGGTTTTGCAGCTTCTGAAAGGTCAGCCTAGTGACTTGGGATGCTGTGCCATGGAAAAGAGGTTTGGCAGATGTTTTAGCAGAAGAGTGGCATTTGCTGAAGTCTGTGAAGAGTCGTTGACTTCTGGCTGGAACAGCATGCCAAAGGAAAGGAACAGAGTGGGCAGGATTGTTGGGAGCTGGCCTGACGTCCCTCAGAATGACAAGAAATTCATGGGTCACTCCAAAGAGAATGTGGGATTTGTGAAAAATAATTAACACATCACTGGTCATAGTTGGACCTGACTAGTTGGTCAGTAGCAGCTGGATGATTTAGGGAAATCCCAGGCTCATGGTGCTTCAAACCCTAGTAGTCTGTTTAGACTCCCAGAAATTTCTGAGGACGTCAGGAAGACTGATGCCACACTGGCAGTGCAAATATTATGATCATAGAATTCCAGAAGGTTTTATATTGGCTACTTAAGGGTTGCATATTTCTTTTTTTTCTTTTTTTTCACATTTTTTTTCTTTTATTTTCCAGTTTAAATTTAGATAAGAAACAAGGTTGCTTCACAAGTCAGTTCCAGGTCCCTCTCCCATTCCCTCCCCTCTTCCCGTGCCCTCCCCCCAAGCCCCCCCCCCGTTATCCCCTCATTCCCCCAGGGAGGGTGAGGCCCTCCATGGGGGTGTCCATAGTCTGTCATTTCATATAGGGCAGGGCCTAGACCCTTCCCCAAGAGTTCAGGGTGAGAGTACACCTCACATTGTTCTATGGGAGTCCAAAGTCTGTGTGTATACTTGGGATGTGTACTGATCTGCTACCCAAGGCTCAATAGATTCCCTAGGCCTCCTCATTGACACCCAGATTCAGGGGGTCTTGATCAGTCCCATGCTGGATTCCCAGGCTGATGCCTGGGATTCAAGAGTTAACCTTTGTCTGGTCAGCTGTTTCTGGGGTTAAACCAGCCCAGTCTTAATCCCTTTGATCATCAGTCCTCCCTCTCTGTTACTGGCTTTCTTGAGTTCAGCTCAGTACTTAACCAAGGGAGTCTGCCTCTTCTTCGATCAGCCACTAAATGAAGTTTCTGTTTCCCAGACTCTCTGGCCATAGGATTGTAGGCTGGCACTCCCCAGATCTATGTCTA